GTGAATCACATGCCCTTAAAACCCTGCCCCGCCTCCTGGCTTCTGAAACCCTTAAAGGGCCGGGAGGCACCGGCGCCAATGGGTTAAATATGTTTAACAACGTCCCGCCCACCCAGTACATTTACTGCGAGTGGCCCGCACAAGTAGGCTGGCTCACATACATGTATGTCATCCAGCCTGTTCCAGGTTGAAAGCACGCAACCCACCACTCATGTTACCACTGCGCCTACCAGACACAACTGATTACAGTTACCAGTAACCAGGTACTGGGTATCGTGTAATTGCTATGATTGGTCAGAGATATCACATGATAACAATGCAAACAAACTTTCATGAATGGACTTCCATTTCCATTCATGAACAACTTGCTTATGACTGTGATCGGCCCACAACAATCACATGTTACCTGGCTACCTGTACCGTGCGATTAGCTGTAACCAACCACAAATCACAACCATAAGCAAGCTGTTCATGAGTGTTAACCAATTCATGATATCTAAAACTGTTGTATATTATATATTACATAGTAATCATCACTATAACTAATAACAGCGTAAAGAAAACAAAATCTCTGCTCAACCCCCCCCCCCCTTCCCCACTATGGTGACACTGAACTACTCCTATAGAAGTATGTCATAGTAAAAAAAAAAGAAAAATTGTTAAAAAAATTAATAAAAAAATGTTTAATGTTCTTAATCTTTTTTTTACATATTGTGACCAGTCATATCCCTGATCACTGCCACACCAGTCATATGGAGATGCTATACTACCCTGGTGACATTATGTAACAAAACAAAACAAATATTACTTTTTTTTATTTAATGTCTTAATTTTCCAAAAAGTGTGAAAAAAAATTATAACTTCAAAAAACTCACCATGCCTCTGACTAAATACCTTGGACTGTTCTAAAAAGATGTCATTTGGGGGTATTTGTACTGTCCTGGCATTTTAGGGCCTCAAGAAATGGGATTGGCCACCAGTACATCAAAACTGATCAATTTTCAAATATATATATACCATAGTTTGCAGACCAATATACACTGGTTTGAGTTATTTTTACCAAAGAAATGTAGCAGAGTACATTTGGCCTGAATTTCAAAACAGTGGTTTTTTTTCAAACTGTTTGGTATTTTTGTGTTTATATAGCAAAAAAATAAAAAAAAAAACAGTGGTGATTAAATACCACCAAAAGAAATCTCAGTGCTGAATAGTAAATAATGTCCTGGTCATGATGGGGTTAAAACCTTGTGGAGGGCATGTGGGTAATTGGTTCCGTGCTGTAAGCAAATTGTAGTGGTAAAATAAAAATAATGCTTTGGATATGTATTGGAGTATAATTCTGATATTCTTTTAAATATTAAGCTCTCCTATTTACAGCCTCATATATATATATATATATATATATATATATATATATATATACATATGAAATTTGTTATATCTGTATGGAAAGTACAAAACAACAGCTGATCTTGTAAGAAATTCAGATCTGTCCTTTGCACCTTCCTGAAATATCTTAAAAAGGCTAATTAGCCCTCCTAGTTCTTAACATGGACTACAGAACGATCTTTATGTTGTAGGGATCTAAAAGTAAGAGTGGTAGAATAGATTAGTAAATGACAAGGTGGGATTGATTCCACTAACGCAACAAAAAATATGTGTGTTTTCAGCCCACAACAGGCCTTAAGGTTGCATTCATACCTGAGCAAATTGTTTTTTAGCGTTATTTTGGGGGAATTTTGTCACACATTTTTATACACATTTTTGAGCAATTTTGGACATCATTTTATAAAGCATTTTTGAGCTTTTGCATTTTGGTTTTTTTTTTTGCCAGTATAGAAAAATATCATCTATTTTATCATTTGTTTCTAAGGTTTTCAGATTTTTCATGCAATTTTATTTGTTATTTATGGTTTTTAATTTTTTTTTTAGGGATGGGGTTAGGTTTTTAGAGTTAGAGTTAGGAGTTGTTTATTTAATTGTTATTAAGTGTTCCTGCATGGCAGACCACTTCTGTTATCTCACATATATATTCTTATTATAGCCAAATTTACCACCCTAACTCCTCCCACAGTTTTTACACTACATAGACAGTAATATACCGAAACGTGCAGATTGTTCCTGATTGGTGTGCTATTACATTGTGAAACGTTTCACCGAATGGTTCACGAAATATCGCCGTTTTTGTAGTGAAATTGGTCCCATAGGAATGAATGGCGCAATGTTCAACACTAGAGTGGGAGCTGACAAAAGCTAGAGTGTGAGCTAAAAAATCAGGACATGATTTCTAAACTGCCATCACTCCCTCATTTTCAAGCCCACCTACACAAATCTTGTATCAAAACGTTCAGCTATCCCTGCTGCCACTAAAAATGTCCACGGCTAAGCCATAGTCCTGATAGTTTTCACAATTGACTATTTGTTTGCAACTCACGCCGTCCATTGACATTCATTGAAACTCCACTCTAGTCACCTCAAATTTGAAGGGAAATTTCTAAACTGCAACTGTGCCTTCATTTTTAATATTTCAGAGACATACTATGCATCAAAATGTAGGTCTGGGTCTTGTGAGTCTCACAATATAAAGCTCTTCGCTGTAGGATTTATAGTTTTTAAAACTACGACCATTTGACGACGCCAGTGAAGTGAGCCATTTGGAGCAGTTTGTTTTTTAACCGCTCTTCTCTGCCCTATTTGAAATCTAATTTTGAATTCATGACAGTTTGGCCGGCTTCTGGTTAAAGGTTTGGAAATAAGTTTAGAGAGTATTTGAGGTGATAATGCTGCTAATGTTTTTATAAATGTTTTAATGTAACTGTGAAGCACTTTGGGCAACAACATTGCAATTAAATGTGCTATATAAATAATTACCAGTTGAAATGCATTTCTCACTCTATCAAGCTTGCCATGTGCACTTTTTAAATTTGATCAATCAATTGGTTAGTGTAATGTTTACTATCTTTACTCTCTCCAAACACTCCACACAGTTACTCTGCCCACTCCATAAAGTTACTCTGCCCAGTCCAACCTTTTCACAGTTACTCCAGCCACTCCAACCACACAACAGTTACTCAAGCCACTCCGCCCAGTTACTCCGCCCACTCCAGTTGTAGACCACTGGTGGAGGCAAGAACACTTCACACAATTTCTCCAGAAACTGTAGCTTTTCTAGTTATTATTATTATTATTATTATTAATAGTAGTAGTCTTAATAATTGTATTTAATTATTATTATTATTATGTTAGGGGGTTAGGTTAGAATTAGAGATGAGGGTTTGGGATAAGGGGTTAATAAATGAATTAATTTATTTTTATTTATTTTATTATTAATTTAATTTATATATTTCTATTTTTATAATTTTTTTTTTTTGTTTTTCATCATTGCATTTGAGCAGACAAATGCTCAAACACACGAAAATGCTCAAAAACAAAAAATCACTTCTTCAATGCATTTCTGTGGGGAAAAATATTCTTCAAAAATGCACCAATCTGCCCTATATTGAGCTACAAAAGAAACTTTTTTTGAGCTTCAGGCATTTGGCTTCAGGTTACTTGGAGTAGAGATTTGAACCAACTCCATAGAGAATTAATGATTTTTTTCTCTTCCAGCCTTTTGGAGCTTCAAGCTATAAAAAGCTTAGATGTGAATGGGGCCGAAGAGCTGAATGTATTTCTGGCAGATCAACAGGTATTTTTCTGTACTTGCAGGGTCTTTATAGGGATAAACATATGCGTGTATTGCAGATACTGTGCTGTATTTTTTTTATTCTGCCTTGACATACACTTTAAATAAGCCTCCGTAGAGCTCTTCAGAGTGTATTCCAGAGGTTGAATAGCTGACCTTGTATATATCTCCAGCCTAAAGTTTACATACCAGACATTGAACTCCTCCGATACTTCTGAAATCATCTACACGTTATACCCGGTGCAGTCAAATTATTTTGCTTAGGAAGGTTATCATTACAACTTATTATTTTTAGTGTTTTTATATCTGAACTCTGAAATTCGCAAGACCCAGATTTGGATCATGGCAACGGGCTCGGCCAAGTGTTGATGTATTTGCAAGATCCTTTTGTTTCGTTTAATTAGGCATAGCCTGGCGTATGTGGCGATTGCATTAATTGGTATGATTAACTGGTGCTAAGAGCCAACATGATTCAAGGCTACAAAGAAAGCTCAGTTGTTCTAGAATGGAGCATGTAAAAAAAGCACTGCCCGTCAAAGACTATCTGTGAATTTTTCCAAGAGTCCCTGGGAATCCACTTCAACCATCTCCAAGCAGGCAGCGTGACCTGGCAATTCAAAATGAAAGCGATGTTAACAAGACATTTTGTCGGTTATCTGATTAACTTGAAACTGATTACTATTTATGCTTGGCAAAACAACTTATAAATAATGGCCAACCTCCAGAAATACTCTAAGGCTGTGATTACCAACAAGTGGGTCAAAATGCACTTTCGTGGCCCAGCAATGGGCTGTGTCATTGGAATTTACAGGGAAAATATGGGGCATTTGTGGCAGCATAGAGGAAGAAGCCTATTAAAGAAGAACATTAAAGTGTTACTAAAGCCAGGACCCTGCATCCACTATATCTGGCCTCCCCGGATACTGCATCTACTATATCTGGCCTCCCCGGACACTGCATCCACTATATCTGGCCTCCCCGGACCCTGCATTCACTATATCTGGTCTCCCTGGACCCTGCGTTCACTATATCTGGTCTCCCTGGACCCTGCATCCACTATATCTGGTCTCCTTGGACCCTGCATTCACTATATCTGGTCTCCCAGGACCCTGCATCCACTATATCTGGCCTCCCCGGACCCTGCATCCACTATATCTGGTCTCCCTAGACCCTGCATTCACTATATCTGGTCTCCCCGGACCCTGCATCCACTATATCTGGTCTCCCCGGACCCTGCATTCACTATATCTGGTCTCCCGGACCCTGCATTCACTATATCTGGTCTCCCCGGACCCTGCATTCACTATATCCGTTCTCCCCGGACCCTGCATTCACTATATCTGGTCTCCCTGGACCCTGCATTCACTATATCTGGTCTCCCCGGATCCTGCATTCACTATATCTGGTCTCCCCGGACCCTGCATTCACTATATCTGGTCTCCTCGGACCCTGCATTCACAATATCTGGTCTCCCCGGACCCTGCATTCACTATATCTGGTCTCCCCGGACCCTGCATCCACTATATCTTGTCTCCCCGGACCCTGCATTCACTATATCTGGTCTCCCCCGGACCCTGCATTCACTATATCTGGTCTCCCAGGACCCTGCATTCACTATATCTGCTCTCCTCAGACCCTGCATTCACTATATCTGGTCTCCCCGGACCCTGCATCCACTATATCTGGTCTCTCCGGACCCTGCATCCACTATATCTGGTCTCCCAGGACCCTGCATCCACTATATCTGATTTCCACGGACCCTGCATTCACTATATCTGGTCTCCCCGGACTCTGCATCCACTATATTTGGTCTCCCCAGACCCTGCATCCACTATATCTGGCCTCCCGGACCCTGCATTCACTATATCTGGTCTCCCAGACCCTGCATTCACTATATCTGGTCTCCCCAGATTCTTCATCCACTATATTTGGTCTCCCTGGACCCTGCATTCACTATACCTGGTCTTCCCGCACCCTGCATTCACTATATCTGTCCCCCTGGACCCTGCATTCACCCTATCCTGTCTCCATAGACCCTGCATTCACTATATCTGGTCTCTCCGGACCCAGCATTCACTAAATCTGGTCTCCCCGGACCCTGCATTCACTATATCTGGTCTCCCAGGCCCTGCATTCACTATATCTGGTCTCCCCGGACCCTGCATTCACTATATCTGGTCTCCCCGGACCCTGCATTCACTATATCTGACCTCCCCGGACCCTGCATTCATTATATCTGGTCTCCCCAGACCTTGCATTCACTATATGTTGTCTCCCTGGACCCTGAATTCACTATATCTGACCTCCCTGGACCCTGCATTCACTATATCTGGTCTCCCCGGACCCTGCATTCACTATATCTGGTCTTCCCGGACCCTGCATTTACTATATCTGGTCTCCCACACTACACACAACATGGAAGTGCAATTATTTTAGTAAATATAAACTGCTAAATACCTTTTCTCACCAGCAGTTAGAGCAGTCTTGGGACTTTTATCAGTGTCCACCTGAGCACTGGGTAAAGCTTGTAGGAGAAGTTATCATTCTCCCCCTATGAGGCTCCATGACCTCTGACTTCTGATTGGCCCTGTGCTGATCACATGCACTCTCTCAAGAAAGAAAAAAACTCTAGCAATACATACCAAACCGAGCATGTGCAGCTTGTCCCCAAACCTCTGTTCTATCAGGAGATGGATTGGGACAGTAGAAGAAGGGGAGAATCAGAGAAGACAGGATCAAACAGCCTTTTTACACAATGCGGAGGATTAACCCCTTAGCTTCCACAGTGAGTATAACAAGCATGCTTTACTGCATACACAGATGGATTTTACTGTTGTGGGTTTAGTAACACTTTAAAACTGTATGTAAACTCAATCAATAAAAGATCATACAAACTTTGACATGTCATTTCAAAAGTCATTTTCAATAATTTTTAAATCTACAGCTTTTGTTATCGCAATGTTCAAATGGCAAGCACTTAGATCAAATATTACCCAGGAAAAACATTTATGCAGGGCAGTCTACATGTAGGCAGGTGCGGTTCATTTTCTCCACTGCAAGTGGCACTCACACCGAGTGGCCCCTCAACCTGGAGAGGAAGTCCAAGAGAAACAATTTTCCTGGGTCAATGGAGCAGCGCTTCGGTTGGCTATGCTGCACCCATGTGACACACACTGGCCATCTTGGGTCAGGACAGTCTACTTAAGTCCCTTCCCCTGGGTTTTGGTGTGCTTCTGGCATGTGGCTAGTGTAGGGAGAGAGACCTCGCTTGTTAGGGAAAGTAACCAGTGGTAGGGAAAGGTTCCTGATGAGGATGCAAAGATTAGGGACTCGCTATCCTGGAAAGGAGCTTCCCTCTTGGGACTGCACGGCTACGCAAAATCACATATATGATCTACATTTGCAGGTAGGGGGCACACCCGCGCGTGCCACCCTACCCGTGCCACTATTGGTGGCTGGGGATGTCAATGGCCAGCACTCAGTGATCATAGGCAAAGCTGATAGGGGAGAAACCTGTGTGTAAACAACACAGGTCTCTCTACTGTCAGCATGGACATGCTGCTTTGTATCTCAACAGATACAAAGCAGCATGTCTCCCTAGTAAAACACACACAGAACATAATGTAAAAAACACACAGCACACAGTTAACCCTTTGATCTCCCCAGATGTTAACACCTTCTTGCCCAGTGTCATTAGTACATAGTACAGTGTCAGTGCTTTTTATTAGCACTGATCACTATATTAGTGTCACTGGCGATGTGAGTGGCAGTCAGTTCTCCCCCAGTGTCGGAATGCCTGCCGCAGTCCCACTATAAGTCGTCGATCGCCGCCATTACTAGTATAAAAAAATACAAATTCCAGTATATATACTGCCATTTGTAGACACTATAACTTTCACATAAACCAATTAATATACAATTATTGGGATTTTTTTTAGCAAAGACGTGTAGCAGAATACATTTTGGCCTAAATTTATGAAGAAATACATTACATTTTTTATTGGGTATGTTTTACAGCAAAAAGTCAAAAATATAGTTTTTTTTTCAAAATTATTGATCTTTTTTTCTTTATAGCGCAAAAAATAAAAAATGCACATGTGATCAAATACCACCAAAGGAAAGCTCTGTTCGTGGGAAAAAATGACATAAATTTTATTTATGTACAGCGTTGCATGACCGCACAGTTGTCAGTTAAAGTAACGCAAAAAATGGTCTGGTCTAGAAGGAGGTAAATCCTTTGGAGGGCAAGTGGTTAATACAATATTACCTAGTGATCCTGCCATGAAGGTTTCTTGTTTTGGCACTTCTTGTTATAGCGTGACAACACTCTGTATACAGTGGGGATCGAAAGTTTGGGCACCCCAGCTAAAAATTTGTATTAATGTGCATAAAGAAGCCAAGGAAAGATGGAAACAATCTCCAAAAGGCATCAAATTACAGATTAGACATTTTTATAATATGTCAACAAAAGTTAGATTTTATTTCCATCATTTACACTTTCAAAATAACAGAAAACAAAAAAATGGCGTCTGCAAAAGTTTGGGCACCCTGCAGAGTTAATATCTTGTACTGCCCCCTTTGGCAAGTATCACAGCTTGTAAACGCTTTTTGTAGCCAGCCAAGAGTCTTTCAATTCTTGTTTGAGGTATCTTTGCCCATTCTCCCTTACAAAAGTTTTCCAGTTCTTTGAGATTTCTGGGCTGTCTGTCACGCACTGCTCTTTTAAGGTCTATCCATAGATTTTCAATTATGTTGAGGTCAGGAGATTGTGAAGTCCATGGCAAAACCTTCAGTTTACGCCTCTTGATGTAATCCCCCGTGGATTTTGAGGTGTGTTTAGGATCATTATCCATTTGTAGAAGCCATCCTCTCTTTAACTTCAGCTTTTTCACAGATGGCATCAAGTTACCATCCAAAATTTGCTGAAATTTTATTGAATCCTTTTTTCTTCTACTCGTGAGATGTTCCCTGTGCCACTGGCTGCAACACAACCCCAAAGCATGATTGATCCAACCCCATGCTTAACAGTTGGACAGAGGTTCTTTTCATTAAATTCTGTGCCCCTTCTTCTCCAAACGTACCTTTGCTCATTCCGGCCAAAAGGTTCAATTTTAACCTCATCGGTCCACAGAACTTGTTTCCAAAATGCATCAGGCTTGTCTATATGTTCATTTGCAAAGTTCAAACGATGGTCTTCCAGATCTTGCTTTAACTTCCACTGTTCCTGATGACTGCCATTTCTTAATTACATTCTGAACAGAGGATATTGACATCTGAAAACGCTTTGCTATCTTCTTATGGCCTTCTCCAGCTTTGTGAGCGTCAACTATTTTTAGTTTCAGTTTTCTAGACAACTGCTTAGAAGAACCCATGGTGCTGATTGGTGGGGCAAGGTCACATGAGTCTGGGCATTTAAAACCTTTGAGATTGACATCACCTGGTCTTCCCAGACGATGATTGAGAACAATCCATGACACTGGCATGTCTCAGCTTTGCAAAGGGGGCAGTGCATGCTATAAATTCTGCAGGGTGCCCAAACTTTTGCAGACGCCATTTTTTTGTTTTCGGTTATTTTGAAAGTGTAAATGATGGAAATAAAATCTAACTTTTGTTGACATATTATAAGAATGTCTAATCTGTAATTTGATGCCTGTTGGAGATTTTTCCATCATTCCTTGGCTTCTTTATGCACATTAATACAAATTTTTAGCTGGGGTGCCCAAACTTTTGATCCCCACTGTAGGTAGGTAGGTATAGTTCACTGTTGTCACCATCAAGAAAACCCACCATGGAAAATGTCAAGCAACCACTGATGGTTTACATACATATAGACAGAAAATGGCAGCAAAGATAGTAATTCCCCAAACACATTTATAAAACTGAAAAAACAAAAATAAGCTGTTGTCAGTATAAAACAATAAAAATTCACAAAATTTTATTTCCCATCAATTTAATGCAACAGAAACATTTTTTTCTAGGGACCTGAAAGTGACTGAAAATATTCAAAAAATTTCATTTTAAAGCTAAAGACTTGGGTCTTTGAATGTAACATCATAATTGTTTAAACAGCTAAAGAATTATTATATATGATAACAATTAAAAAATTTTGTAAAAAAATAAAAAGTGAAATGTAAGAGATGAATATATTCTTTACAACTATCCAAACATAAGCAAGATGAGCTAATAAAATACTCAGGAAAGCCAGGGGTCTCTGCAGAATACCCACAAAAGATAGGGTTTGATTTACTAAAACTGGAGGGTGCAAAATCTGGTGCAGATCTGCAAAGAAACCAATCAGCTTCCAGGTTTTATTGTCAAAGCTTAAGTAAACAAGCTGGAGTTAGAAGCTGATTGGCTTCCATGCACAGCTGCACCAGATTGCCTCAGTTTTAGTACATCCCCCCATAGCGTAAGGCTGAAAGGTAACAGTGTACACTCTTGGCTTCCCAATGAAAGTCTTCCACCACTTAACGCCTGTGGCTCCCTCATGATGACCTCTACATTCCACAGACAAGAATCCCGGAATCTTCACTCTCTTACTTCTTCTTGGTTCCAGTACTTCCTTCAAAGCCTTTCTTTGCTAATACTTTTTATAGTAAGGTCTGTGCCAGGTCTTTAATACTGATTGGACCCTGGGCAAACAATTTCTTTTTCCCCCTCCATGCAATTTCGCTCTCCACCCCAGCATCAAAAAAAAACAAACACAGGCATAGATTTTATAATGTAAAGAACTGGTCCAGGCTCACTGATTGGTCCAGGCGCATTGACTGGTTGCTAGAGGTTACTGCACATCATTACTGCTAACTGATTGGTTTCTATAGGTTGCTGTTTATCATTACCGTCTACTGATTGGTTGTTATATGTTACTGCTTATCATTACCATTCACTGATTGGTTTCTAGAGGTTACAGCACAACATTGCTGCTCACTGATTGGTTGCTAAAGGTTACTGCTGGTTCATGCTCATCTGGAATATGCAGTTCAATTTTGGTCACCAGTCCTAAGGATTGACTACTTGAATTAGAAAGAATTTAGTGAAGGGCAACAATTTTAATTTTTGTTACAATACACTACAAGCCAAGGAGACCATACCAATGAGATATTACAATGGGTCTGGGTCTTTTTTTTCACTTTCCACTAAAAAATAAGGAAAGAATAAAGAAAAATCATAATAACACAAATGTCACTGTAAAAATATAAATGTAGCCTACCTTAGGAGTATATACAGACTAGGAGCAGAAAAAATACCAAAACCTCTGGCAGAAAAAGCAGCAGAAAAAATGCTCACAGTGGCAAGAGTTTAGGAGAGTTTATGGGCGTTAGGCTAGGTTCACTGTAGCGGGT